TAAGTGTCTGGCCTAACCCTGGCGAGGTAGTGAAGAGGCTAGGACTAGACTCCAGATAAACATGTGCAGTTATATAATATATGGCAGAAAAATAAACAGGAATACGCAGTTTAACATGGGAAGGGGTACATGCTTCGGGGGAAACATATCAAGACCAACAGAAACTTAATAAAATATGAAAGGACGACTCAATATCTACAACAATACAATAACAATATTGTTGCGGCGCGCAACCCAATCCCTTATCATTTAACATTGTTGCGGCGTGCAACTCGATCCAATATAATATCTGTTGCGGTGTACAACCCCATCCAATATAATATCTGTTGCGGAGTGAAACCCGATCCAATATAATATTTGTTCGGCGTGCAACCCAATCCAATATAATATCTGTTGCGGCGTGCAACCCAATCCAGTCTTGTAACAACATCTAACTACCTCAGCTATAACCAAACTTGTTGCAACATCTAACTACCTCAGCTATAATCAAACTTGTTACAACATCTAACTACCTCAGCTATAATCAAACTTGTTACAACATCTAACTACCTCAGGTATAACCAAACTTGTTACAACACCTAACACCAAAAATCATCAACCTAAATATTAGTAATATCAATTAAGAACACAATGCAAGGGAACCACAACTCACAATAGCCCGGCAAGAGGGCAACATAATGATATCTTCTCTTTCTCACTTTTTCTTCACAATTCACTTCACAACTCGAACCAATACTCTAAAGTTTTAATTATCACTTATACTTTCACAATTTGTTATACAACTGGAGCCAACGCTCCTCAATGTTCATAGGTCACAATTCCTTTCCACGACTTTACACAACAAATATGAATCTTCACCAAGGCATGAATAATACAACGAAGTCATGAAAATCACAATATAAGATCCACGGTCATGCTTGACACCAACGTATAGATACTCGTCACCATGCCTATACGTCGTACTCAATAAGAAGCAAATAGCAAATAGGACACAACTCCTAATCCCTCAAGTTAAGGTTAGACCAAACACTTACCTCGATGTCTCGAACATAACTCAATCTTCAATTATAGCTTTACTCATTGATTCCACCACCAATTCGCTCGTATCTAGCCACAAGTTACTTAATTACATCAATAAACGCTAAAGGAATCAATTTGAATGCATGAAAATGAGTTTTCTATAGTTTTAACCAAAAAGTCAAAAATCGCCCCCGGACCCACATGGTCAAAACCCGAGGTTCGAACCAAAATCCGATTACTCATTCCCCCATGAACCCAAATATATGATTTGTTTTGAAATCGGACCTCTAATCGAGGTCTAAATCCCCAATTTTTGAAAACCCTAGGTTTTACCCAAAACACCCAATTTCCCCTATGAAAATAATTGATTTGAAGTTGAAATCATGTTAAAAGATGTTAATGATTGAAGAAAACTATTTAAAAATGACTTACAATTGATTTAGAGAAGAAAGGTTGTTTGAAAAATCGCCTCTTATGTTTTTGGGGTTTTGAAAAATGAAAATAACTAGAAATCCCGTCTATTTATACCCATCTCAGGCCCCCTGTGCAAACCGCACAAAATGGACTGTGGCCGCACAAGCCTTCCTGAGGTACTGCGGTCCAGTGCCCTGTGCGGACCGCACGAAATGGACCGCGGCCGCACAAGTCTCCACCGCGGACCGCAAGAAATCAAGCGCGGTCGCGAAGGCTTGGCCTTGCTCACCGTGGTCCACACAAATCCCACCGCGGTCGCGGAGTCCTCACTGCGGCAGCGAAGTTTCCACTGCGGACCGTGTGACCTGGCTTCAGAGACCTGCAACTTTTCCCTAAGTTCAAAACTTCCCGAAACACACCAGATCCCTCGAGGCTCCTAACCAAACACACGTACTAATTCAACAACATCATACGAACTCATTCGTGCGATCAAATCGCCAAAATAACCTCAATAACAATGAATCAAACCTCAAAATCAAGAACTTTTTCTCAAACTTCATCAAGTATCAAATTCAGCAATTTAGGTCCGGATCACGTCAAACGACGTCTGTTTTCAACCAAACTTTACAGAAATGACTTAAACCATATATAAGACATGTATCGGATGCCGGAACCAAAATACGGGCCCGATACCATCATGTTCTAATCAAACTTCATTTCAAATTTCTTTAAACAATTTCAGAAAATAATTTTCTTTGAGAATTCATTTCTTGGGCTCGGGACCTCGGAATTCGATTCCGGGCATACGCCCAAGTCCCATATTTTCCTACGGACCCTCCGGGACCATCAAATTACGGGTCCGGGTCCGTTTACCCAAAACATTCACCGAAGTCAAATTAGCTCATTCTATAATCAAAACTTATCGTTTTTCACAGATTATCATATTTAAACTTTTCGGCTACGCGCCCGGACTGCGCATGCAACTCGAGGTGTCTCTAAGTGAGGTTTTCAAGGCCTCAGAACACGGAAGTTTCGTTTTAAAATAAGTGATGACCTTTTGGGTCATCACACTACATATAGGATACATTTTTTTAAAAAATTATTTTAAAGGAATCATATTAACAATAAATTTTATTAGAGACCCTTTGCTACCCCTTGGTTGTGAGACGAACATAATTCAAAGGCAAAAGTAGACTAAATTTCCTTCATACGTATTTTGAAGGAATTATAGTTCAATTCAAATTAGTTTTTTTTTCCTCTAAATTTTGGAGTACGTCTTTTATGGTAAAAGGATATAGAAAAGCCAAAATTGTTTATTTATAGTAAATTTTAATAGTTCAAATATTATGAGTTTCTATATGATTCAAATAAGGAAATATTTTATAAGCAAAATTTTATTTAATTTAAAAATTCTATATATTAGGAGAATAATTAAATTACAACTTTGTCTTATGTGAAAGTTATTTTTAAAGGGTAAAAAAGGAGAACGATATTTCGCTAAGGGTCTTCGTGCTTTTAATATAGTATAGATAAACAACAATCCCAACATAACTTATTCTAATATAACTTATACCGGTATAAATCGTATTCCAACCAAACGATCTCTTAAAGTACAAAAAACAATTATATTATTATCTTTTTTGCTTATCCTACTATGCTCGCCGGAATCGATATATGCAAAAATACATAAACAAGTAGCATAGATTTCTTATTACAACAACAATCCAGTATAATTCCACTTAGTGGGATCTAGAGAGAATAGTGTGTACGCAGACCTTACTCTTACCCTGGGTAGAGAGGCTGTTTTCAAATAGACCCCCGGCATTCTTCCCTCAAAAAACTTCTCACCTTGTTCTCGGGGAGACTCGAACTCACAACTTCTTAATTGAAAATGGAAGTTGCTTACCATCGGAGCAACACCTCTTGTCATTAGATCTCTTATTGCGGCGTGGTATTGATGGTTACTTATTGTCTAAATCTAATATTACACATTTAAAATTTTATATTCATACTAGCTTTAGCTGGCATTGGAAAGGCCTACTTTCCTTTGTTTTCTTTATGTTCAAATAGAAATGGGTAGAAATACTACCTGACTTTTTTCTTTATGCAATACAAATTAGCAAAAATATAAGAAATCAGCAGGAAAAACAATTAGAAAATGTAAACGATGACACTATGTTGACGTTGGACCCGTGATCAGCACCGGCATTATCCCACTAGTATGTTTATTCGATCAGATATTCGGATAGTATATAATATGCACAGTCAAACCTCTCTGTAATGGAGTTATTACTTGTTAGTCCTGTTATGTTTTTTGGTTTAAAATGATACTCATTCCGTTTCATATTAGATGGGTTACTTTCTTTTTTAGTCTGTTCCAAAACAAATAACACATTTCTAAATTTGGAAATAATTCAACTTTAAACTCTTCATTTACCCATTTACCCTTAATGAGAAGCTTTTATAGTCACACAAATGACATGACCTCACAAATTTTTTACCCCTTAAATTTTTAAGACCACAAGTTTCAAAAGTCTTTTCTTTTTTTCTTAAATTTCGTGTCAATTCAAACTATATCATCTAATATGAAATGGATGGAATATTATAGAGAACATATAATATAAGATAACATAAAAATTTGATTCCAAAAAAAAACTTAACGATTGTAATAAAATATTATTATAAAGGATGATGTTATAGAAAAGTTTTACTATATATATAGTCAGTTGTCAACACTAATTGTTCTATCAGACATCATTAAAAAAAATCACAAGATTTAAAAGCTGGAAAAATTAGAAGAAAAAAGGATTATTACGACATGCAGAGAGTAGAGTCTTATTGATCGAATTCCTACTTTGCCTAGGTAGAAAATATGAGATAAAAAGTTACAACTCGAAGAATCAAAGTTGAAGACCACTCCCTTGAAGTTTCAAACTGGTAATATGATCGAGTCGTTCTTCCATCTCAGGTGTTATGTGATTCTTCCAAGCTTTAGGCCTGAGTAATTAATGAAGAATTGCTATTGACCCACACAAAATCTATTTTCCATCCCATTCCTTCATCTTCTCTCCCCTCCCCCATTCAAGGAACTGAACAGCCAAAGTAAACAAATGTTAGAACAGAGTGTTAAATATATTAGAACCCAGTAAATCGGGTAAAATGGAGAATCTAATATATGAAAAATATAGAGTCCCATGGGTGGGTGGGTTGCCTTTTCTTTTTCCACCCAAAAGACGACGACATACCGGAGGTGACTGTCATGGCACTCTATATTTTTTATATATTAGATTCTCCATTTTTCCCGATTTATTGGGTTCTGATATATTTAACACTCTATTCTAACATTTGTTTACTTTGGCTGTTCAGTTACTTGAATGGGGGAGGGGAGAGAAGATGAAGAAATTGCATTTGTGTGGGTCAATAGCAATTTTTCAATAATTACTTAGACCTAAAGTCATTTCATTCGTTATTTGCCACGACATCAGCAAGAGAGTTACACACTACCTACTAGTGTGTCAGAGAAGGGTTCAATAGACACACTACCTACTAACGTTAGGTGTTGAATAGGAAACAACCTTAGTTGAGGTGTCTAAGTCAAAAAGCATGACAACTTTTAAGTGGTTGTTTAGGTATTTGGCCTAGTCTAAAACACTGTCTAGCACTGTCTCCCGCAACCAAATGAAATACACTAATTAATTACTACCAACTTTTTCATATTGGATTGAGCTCTAAGAAAGTCGTCGCTTTAGCTGATATTTCTGAGTTCCACCATGTTTTCCTCCCCTAAACTCCGCCATGAAAATGGCCCAACAACCACCTCAAAACCCGAATCTAAACCCATAACCGGAACCGAAATTGAGGCAGAGTTCTCACACCACGACCTCACCGTAGCCCGAATCAACAATGGCAGCTTCGGATCATGCCCGTTATCAATAATCTCTGCCCAACAACAATGGCAACTCCAATTCCTTAAACAACCCGATTACTTCTACTTCAACACCTTCAAACCCTCCATGCTTAAATCTCGTATCTTAATCCAATCCTTAGTCAACACCGAAGATGTCGACGAAATCTCCATCGTCGATAACGCCACCACTGCCGCCGCAATCGTCCTCCAACATGTCACTTGGTCTTTCTTTACTTCCAATTTTCAACCCGGTGATGCCGCCGTTATGCTCCATTACGCTTATGGTTCCGTTAAAAAATCCGTTCAGGCGTATGTTGCACGCGCCGGCGGCAAGGTAATTGAGGTCCAGTTACCTTTTCCGTTATTGTCGAATGAAGAAATTATTACTGAATTTGATAAAGCTCTTAAAATGGGGAAAATAAATGGAGGGAAAATTAGGTTAGCTGTAATTGATCATATTACTTCTATGCCTAGTGTTGTTATACCTGTTAAGGAACTTGTTAAGATGTGTAGAGATGAAGGCGTGGATATTATTTTTGTTGATGGTGCTCATGCTATTGGAAATGTTGAAGTTGATGTAGGTGATATTGGAGCTGATTTTTATACTAGTAATTTGCATAAATGGTTTTTTTCTCCGCCTTCCGCGGCATTTTTGTATTGTAAGAAATCGGATAAGGTATTGGATTTGCATCATCCTGTGGTATCAATTGAGTATGGGAACGGGTTGCCAATTGAGAGTGCTTGGATAGGGACGAGGGATTATAGTGCACAATTGGTTATTCCGGAGGTACTGGAGTTTGTGAACAGGTTCGAAGGCGGGATTGAGGGGATAAGGAGAAGGAATCATGATAAGGTTGTTGAAATGGCGGAGATGTTGGTGAAGGCGTGGGGGACGAAATTGGGGACGCCACCAGAAATGTGTTCGAGTATGGCCATGGTGGGAATGCCTGCCTGTTTAGGGATTTCTAGTGATTCGGATGCTTTAAAGTTGAGGACTCATTTGAGGGTTTTGTTCAAGGTTGAGGTTCCGATATATTACAGAGCGGCATTGGAAGAGGAGGTAAATCCGATAACAGGTTATGCTAGGATCTCCCATCAAGTTTACAATACCATCGAGGATTATTATAGGTTTCGAGATGCCATTATCAAGCTTGCGAACGATGGTTTCAAATTGGGGCGAGGTGATCAGGCAGGACATGGAGCGGCTTCAAATTTCCGAGGACATGACCCTTGATCGGAAGGTGTGGAGGTCGAGCGGGTTGTAGGTTAGGGGGTAGTCAAGCGTTTCTCCTCGCTGTGCCGGCTAGTCAAATAATGTTTTGTCTAGGATTGTTAGCGGTTTTTGTTGTATTTCACATTTTGGCCTTTTCATTTATTTGTTGTATTTTACAATGCTGATACTATTTTTCTGATTTCTGTTGTTGTTACGGTACTATTTTCTCTAAGTCGAGGGTCTCCCGAAAACAGCCTCTCTATCCCTCCGGGTACACTCTACCCTCTCCAGACCCCACTAGTAAAATTCTACCGAGTTGTTATTGTTGTTTATATTAGGGAAATCATTTTGAGCAAAAGCTCTAAGTACAGACAAACAATGTGTTGGTAAGCTGATTAACAACAGTTTGAGTATAAAGAAATCTCATAAAGTTTCACATATTCATTGCTAAATCCCCTGAGGCCTAAAGTAAAACAAAAGGCAGCTACTTGCATTGGAATTTAGGAGCAACTCCATTTTGCTAAATGTCAAAGCATCTTGATCTGATTTGTGAAAGGACAATTCAGAAAAATCAAATATTCCTCTGCACTATGAGCCTTACTAATTTCACAAACTGCAATAATCATGCCACTACTATCAAATAGCGTTGTGCGTTGATAGCGTATATATTCATTATTTAAATGTATCTACTATAGCAGGTAACTCTTCATCGTGAACCAGTTAAATTACAGCAAAAGGCGGTCTGATGCGTAAAGCATCCTACATTCACGCAGGATCCAGGGAACAGCCGCAACCCAAAATAAAATAAAATTCATTACATTGTTGTGTATAACTTAAACCCTTTATCAATTTGTGACTCCCGAGAACCAATTGCCACACATGCAGTGGCGTAGCTACATACATTGAAGGATGGTCAACTAAATATCCTTCATTGAAAAAAAAGTTAATATTGAAACTTATATTGTGTGTATAGGTCAAAAATTGTTTGTTGCAAGTGTATATTAAATTTTGAACACCCTTCGTGAAATTCCTGGTTTCGCCACTGCACACATGCACACAGTAACATCATTCATCAGCTATAATCTGGTGTCATATCATACTGTCATTCCCATAAACCCTTAACTTTATTAGTGTGCTTGAAATCATAAGTCATTACTAGACTTCTATCCATTCTCCTCAACACAAACCTCTCAATCAACACATAGCAACTGAATCTTCTCCATCCACTACTATTTTCTCTGTACTGCTCAACTTGTTTAATCCCCCCTTGTTTTTGCCATCCACCTCTTTCTTGTTCCCACTTCATTCTTTCAACTATTTCTTCTCTCAATCCCACACTTGTTACTTCTTTTCCATCTTTATCATAGCTTCTAAACCATATTACTCGTTCGACGACATTTTTATCATCCCATGTTGCTTTAGTTCCAGCAATTAGGACAACTTCAGTGTCAAGTGCAACATCAACAAGTACTGAATTCCCTTCATTAATGTAATCATTTTGACAAGTGAAAAACTGCTCCCATTTCTGCTCAAGTGTCATTTCATAGAACATTGATCTCTTCATCTGTTCTTTAAGTAATACTATTCCATCTTTAATAAACATGAAAGGACAATACCATTTCCCTATAACAACAACTTCTGAACTTTTACAAGATGGTGCGAAATTCAACTCTGGAAGTTGCTGCCTCAACTCAGCATTGAGGCCTAATGCATCATCATTTAATTCATAATTTTTAGGAGTTTTAGCACAAAGATGCCATCCTTTTCTCCTTAGAAAGTGCGGTGGGAAACCATCTGGTGCAAGAGACTTAGCGAAAAAGTTTCCTTTGGCACTGCAACCTGTATCATATGGACAAATCTGAAACTGCTGATATACCTCATCTGGATCTAATGGCTTCGGTTTAACGTCTCGTACACATCTGCAGAAACAGCATGTTTGCTTTTCTTCCTCCTTTGAACAAGTAAATGCTTGTCTGCGAAAAGGCGATTCAGAAATTGTAAGATGAAGGAAAATATTATATATATGGAAGTATTAGTTAGAAGAACTCATAATAACGGAATAAGATGCAGCAGCAACAACAACAACAAACGCAATAAATTCCCACAAATGGGGTCTGGAGAAGGTATTGTGTATACAACTACCCTGCGAGCGCAGAAATGCCGTTTTCTATAGACCCTCGGCTAAAGAAAAACAGAATAGGATGCAACAACAAAAAATAGAAGATGGAGATTTGAATGTTAAAAACTGGTTCAATGCACCGTACAAGAGGCGCTGTCCTCGGAGTACATTTCCATCGGGAGTACTCTGGTTGAAATAGCAAAATGACATCTTACTAACAAGATGCAGCAAATCACTCACGAATCTTGTAATGTAAAAAGGCAGCTCGGTGCACTAAGCTCCCGCCATACGTGGGGTCCGGGTAAGGGTCGGACCACAAGGGTCTATTGTACGCAGTCTTACCTTGTATTTCTGCAAGAGGATGTTTCCACGGCTTGAACCCTTGACCTCCTGGTAACATGACAACAACTTTACCAGTTACGTCAGGGCTCCCCTTTACGAATCTTCTAATGCATGCTCAAAGAAAAATTCTAGAGACCTCTTAAATCTCTCAACTGCTTCTGTAGCAATTTAATGTGAATAGAAAAGAGACTTTGGAGGAGAGTGAAATGATAAAGATTCAAAAGGATGAAATCATGGAAAGTCAAAACTATATGGGTACTCAACTGATGATTCCTTGAGATGGATGTATCCTACATAGATTGGATACATCTTTTCGGCTATGTTGCTCGGACTCTCCAAAAATGTCGTCATCTGCGTGTCAGATCCTTCAAAAGTAGTGTATTTTTGAGGATCCGAAATAGGTGCTGCAGCATTTTGAAGAGTCCGTGCAACATAACTTTTCGGATAATGTTGAGACTTTTTGACAATAGGCACATAAAAAATTTCACTCACTCAATATAAAAACCAAACATAAGATTCATTACCTTGGATTTTATCCAGGCAAAGAAATAAACCAGAAAATGAGTTTTGCCAGAATCACTTGTTCTCCACTACAATTAATAAAAGCCAAAGACACAATACTAAGGCTGAACTTTGATAAGTTGTTTTCTTCTAAATTTTGCAATCAGGACTCAGAAGATCATATTTATGCTATTACTAGATTGAGTCAAAAATTTGAATCACATAATTAAACTATCATACGAGACTAAAAAGGGTGGGGTCCGGGGAAGGGCCGAACCACAAGGGTCTGTTGTACGCAATCTTATCCTGCATTTCTACTTTTCACGGCTCGAACCCGTGACCTCCTGATCACATGGCAGCAACTTTACTAGCTATGCTAAGGCTCCCCTTCTATCATACAAGATTAAATGTGTAAATACAATAACATACCCCTTGTGTTTTCCGTGAGGCTTGATAGCATAATAATGATTGGATGACAATGGCTTATTAAGAACTGGAATGAACATTACATCATCCCTTTGAATTCTCATGTTTTGATCATCACTATGAGTACGAGAGTTCATTGCATCGGTCCTTTGGTATCGAACAGTCAGCTTCTTGTTCTGAGGGAAAGGCAGGTCCCTGACATCATAACTTTTACAAAGTCCAAAACAGCAATAAGTTTCAGAATCCTCATCTTGAATCACTAAGTAACCTGAATTTGGACCTTCAGGAGATAATGAAAGAGCATCTGGATTCTTTTGGTAGTAACAAAGAGGCCTTGTTACATACATATTTAGGAAAAAACTAACTGTTTTAATTTCTGTCTGGAAATGTCTTTTGAGGATGTATATCATGTTAATAATCTTCTATTTCTATTGCCATGATATATATGAAGAATAGTCAAATTCAATAAGATAAGATAACTAAGGCAACTCATTTCGCTGTAGAACCAGCTAGTCAACATGTTGATAAACCTCTTTTTTTTCTTTTTGCCTTCTGTTAGTCTTAGGTTGACGTTCTGCATCTATCCGTATAGGTGCTACCTTTAGTCCGGTGCACTAAGTTCCTGCTATGTGCGGTTCCAGGGAAGGGCCGGACCACAAGGGTCTGTTGTACGCAGCCTTACACTGCATTTCTGTAAGAGGCCGTTTCCACTGCTCAAACCCGTGATCTCCTAGTCACTGGTACTACCTTTAGTATTTTAAGAAAATATGAGGAATTTACTCCAAGTGTGCTCCACATTTCTTGTGTTTGAAGGATATAATGGAGACCATGATCTTGTTTACAATTCAAGCTTTTCTACAAGGACAGCTTGTCATATAGTCAAAGCTGAAAAGAATAATTTATTGTTTTAGTGGCATTGGTCTAATATTTACATGTTTCTATTAATCTCAGACCTACCATATAAACGAACATTTTATTTGTTTGAAAATCAGCTGGAGATGTTTTTGGACGGCTTAATCAAGAATTTTTAATTAAGGGAAAGCAATTTTTCATTTAAGGGTCCTGCTTATAGTCAATTTTTCTGGCAATTTCTGATTATTAGCAAGCCAAGAGAAAATATCTCACCCCTATAACAATTATATTTGGAAGAAGGATATCCAATTGTAACTCAATCTAATCTCTCTTGAGTTTTTATAGTTACTCAATAATTTTACTTTCAGGAGAAATGGGTTGGATCCAGGCTTTGGCAACGAAGGACCTAAGTTTTTGTAGCTCAAATCACTTGTGTGTATTCAACACACATATATGTGCCATCTAGGTATAGAATTTAAAAAGGAAAGAAAAGACTTTTGGAACATATCAAAACTACTCTTAGAACTTTTAGGGTCATGACATTTCTATAACTATACGAGCATGTTATTTAGGTTTATAAAAAGTTTAAATTCAAGGAGTTTCCAACTATAAAAAAAGTTAACATTCTTTTTGCAAGAAACTAAAAGGAAAAGAGTGCCATATAAGATGGACGGATTGAATAATAAATCATCTCCACATTAAACCCGTTGACTCGCGGCCAACACCATCATACTTATTCATCATGCTTCCATGTTAATATCTCCCTTAAGGTAGGCATATAGGAAGGAATGGAGAGATCCGGAATGAAGAAATCAACTATGAAAGAAGACAATCGCCTCCTTCTGGTTGATCCTTTTTTCGACTACCTCATGGCCCTCGAGGGCCGCGGCAACTAGAAAATTGTGGGATGCACGAGCGAGGTGCATAGCATTGTGTAGAGATTAGAGAATAGAAAGCTCTTGGTTTCAACTAACATTGAGCAAAAGAACTCTCAGAAGCAAAAACACACAAATTAGATTGCCTTCAAGGCAATAACTTAGCATTTACAACTGCTTTTGCAAAGCAGGTAGAAGTGATGAATACATATGGTACACCATAAATACCAAACACAATGAAACGCTATGTTAGTGACATGACTTCATGCATAACTAAGAAGCATTGACAGTAAAGACGATACAGATGCAGCCTCTTTACAGCAGCAACAACACCAGGTCATAAACTAAGCCATCCGCTTCATAATCGACAAGCCAAACCTGTTCAATCACATTTGAAATGTCCCTCATTTTTCTGAAAACTTGCTCCAAGAAGCCTCTTATGTCTGATTGGTGCCCTGCTGCTTCATAACTTCATCTTCCCCTCCTAGTAGCCCTACTAAACATGTCTTTGATATTTAGGGAGTTGGTCTCCACTTTGGCCTTTTTAGTCTGTCTTTTGCTCTTACTAGTCTTTTCCCGGTCTTCACTCTTTCCCTGATGATTTGGAAACATAAAAAAAACAGTGATGCACATCGCAAATGAAAAACTCAAAAGTAAACAAATTAAGCAGCATCTCATATACATAGACAATTTTCATGGCTACCCTTTGAGTTTTCCTTCCTTTTTTTTCCACTCTAATGTAAACATGCAAAGCTTCTAATAGAGTATATACATCATTGCCGGAGCAAAATGCGGGCATCAACAAATACAAATATCTTCTACCGACTAACTTTTCGTGACAAATTTTTCCTTCATCTGCCCCACGGGAAGGGAAGGAAAAGAAAAAAGATAACAGTATTTCACTTTCCACTTCCCTAAACCAAAACTTAGCTCTTCATGCAAATGTAGGCTTCGCCTAATAAATTGCATCAAATATTACAGTAGGCTAACCCTGGGAGAGAAACACATGCCAATTCGTAAACGTAATATATGATTCAATTCGATCTTCTCATGATACATTAAGACAAGCATCTTTTTGAATACAGGATGATATTATTCTTGCACAGTTTATCATCCTTGTTCTTGCACAGTTTATCATCCTTGTTCCCGGTGCCGTCTAAGAGAATACTTACTAATCACCAAGTCATGGATCAGATCCAGTTTAATAGTGGCAGGTCTCCTTACCTGTTCGTGATTGAAGGACTCAAAACCATTTTCCATTGGTGATGAATGTAATTCAGAATTTGATAAATTTGTGTCATCTTGCAAATCTATGCTGCAAAAGTACTCGTAAAAGTATTATGGTTAGTAAATTAGAGGAAAACCTGTNCCGCGAGGCCCGGCCCGTTAGGCCCACTAAGGCCCGGGCCCGGGACAAAATACAGCCCTACCTGTAAAGAAAAAACTCTGGGATTTTTACTACATAACAAGACCATCAACTTAAAATGTATGATGTTAACATCAAAAGGAAGACTCTAACTAGGAATAGGTCCTCTGAACAAGACCAATCGGCCCCTTCTCTAATCCAGAAAGTCCCTTTGTGCCTTGTAATTCACGCAATAGCATATTGCAGGCTACCAAAAAGCAGGTGTTGACACATACTGAATTTCACAATGATTTTTGGCGTCAGAAGCACACCCATCCGGATATCATCTTTAAATATTTGTAATGCTTCAGCTTCAAATTGTTGTCACAAAGAAAACTATGGTATTATGAAAAGAAACTGGAAGTTGTGTTACTCTTTAAAGAACAATTAGAAGCAACCTTGAAAGGCTGAAGGACGAGTGCCACCTTATTAATATCTAATGGCCTATCCTGTGAGCAATAAGACAAAAGGCCATACTTCTTTTAAAAGCTTCAAGTATAAAAGATCTAGTTCTCTCAGAACTAATGTGAATTTAGCTAAGAATAGAACATGATGGAAGCAAAGAATCCTGCGAGCGATACCAACTAGTTGCCATTAAAGCTTTTATTATTACACTTATATTATGTATGTTTGTGAATTAGGGACTTGTTTCTCCTCTTAGAAGTGCGCAATTTAAAGAACCTCTAGTTTTAGAAAACTCGTAAGTCACTTTAAAAGACAAACTATTCAGAATTGGAATAAGATGGTCCAATACAGCTGAATAGGTACGAATGAATTATACAGTCGACCCCACGTCTTCGACTAGTTTAGTGTTGAGGTTTAGTTAATTGATTGATTTTGTTAGTATTACTGGATTGGTACCCCTAAATCACCACATTCGACCTACACAAAATTCAGGTTCTTTACCCATGTCACGTCAACTCTTGGGCTCCAAATACTTTCTCGAGGATTGTCGTCATGCAAGTGCAGTGCTCTACAAGGCATATTCGAGGCCTGCCCTTGAGGCAACGCAATTCTAAGTCACGCTTTACCTAAGAGGTTTGGGCAAAAATACATCAAGTGTATACTTTTTTGCTAAAGTTTTTCCCTTTTGTGTTTCTAGAATCTAGAGAAAGGCACTTTTTCTTAACCTTTCTTTTTATATTTAAGAACACTTTTGGCAAAGTGGTGGGTTTTTCAAAAGATTGTCCCTCATTGGAAAACCTATAGAAGTTGACCACATGTTTAAGTAACAGATCTTGGACAAACGGCATTCATGCACAAGTACATGGTTAAGTGGCAAAGGAATCTGGACAAGTGTTTTGTAAAACATGCAACCACTTAAAGTATGACACGTAGCATGGTTAGATCCACCTCTCATCCCTATGAATAGCCTAATTATTGCTCTGCTCCATCATTATGACTCCATCGTCATACATTCTCTCTAGCCTAATTTTCTCTTGCGATCATTTTTCACCAACACTCTCTCAACTGCTCCTCTTCATTTATTTTCCTAACTTGCTGGTTTGTTATTTAATTTTATTGTTCATACTCTCGGGGAAGGCTTATTTAATTCTGGAAAAAAAAAATTTAGCAGTGTGAAAGTTTCCCCATATTAAAGAAGCCCTCCTCTAATTTTCACACTATTTCAACAGTATAAAAGTTTCCCCGAAATAAACAAGCCTTCCTATATGAGGAAGCACGAACCGAGAAATTAAAGAACAAACCAGCAAGTAAGAAAAGAAGGAAAAGCTAAGATGAAACGATGGCATCACTCTATCTTTGTTAAAGATTGATAATGTTGGGTTCCATGGTTAGGCTATTTATAGAAATGGAAGTGGCTCATAATCATGTCATGTGTAATAGGTTAAGCGGTTGCATGTTAACCTCCCCTGCATGTTAGCCACTTGTATAAATTCGTTTGTCACCTAGCAATGCACTTATGCATGAACACCACCTAGCTATACTTCCTAGCCACTTGCCCAAGTTCTTTTGAATTTCACTACTTTTTGCCCTTAATTGACTGTATCCTGAGAGGTAAGTTGGCCAACACAAACCTATTTAATTTGTCTTCCTTAATTACCCAAAAGAAAAGAGAGACGAGATTATGAAGTTAGCAAGGTATTTATCTGACTCCTTCCTCCTCTGTCTTTCGAATGCAGCGACCGTGCAACATTGATCACTGACAATTGATAACCCCTCTGTTTTCCAGTAGACTTCGTGACAATCTTTGTTTTTCTTTTTCCTTTAGAATTAATTTTTCCTGTACTTTCAAACATATTTATATTTTTAATATGCTAAGAGTTCTTTTATGTTTCATTTGTATTTTGATATAGAAAGGAATCAAGGATATCTTATTATCGATAGTTGGATATTTTTTTTGGAAGCTAAATGTGAATTAAACATTACATAGTAACGCAGACAGAGTGTAAACTAATGAAAAAAAATTATAAATTAAAGGAAAGAAAATAGGTCCGGAAAGTCGTTTGCCTCGAGAGGCATATGCCTCGCGTTGCACTTTTGTATTTTAAAATATTGTGTAAAAGCATAACTCTGGTTAACTATACCTAGACAGTAATTTTAAAGATAAATAAGAAAAAACTCAGCCATTTATCAGTTAAAGGAAATACCTTAATTTGCCACAGAGGAGCTTCAACCAAGGCTCGTCCTTCAAGTACTCTCCAATTATTGATACTGCATCCGATACTGTTCACTTCAAAAACATTAATTAGCATAATCATCTTTTAGCTTTCACCGAATTGGTTAAAAAAACTTATTTCCTGGTTGTTTAAAAACCAAGGATAGATTAAAGAAAAGGGGGTAATGGCCCATTCAACTGATAAGATATTACTTGAGGAGTTCCTCAAACAAAGAACAACAAGAAAAATGTCTTTGATTTATAACAAGGTCCAGAGCTGGCTATGAAAGAACACGAAAAATGCCTTTGATTTATCACAAGGACCAGAGCTGGCTATGAGAATTATAACCTGTAAGTGTAAGAATCTTAACAAACTCATTATTCAGAAAGAAACATACATATTTCCTTCTTATCTCGAGCAGCGTAGTTCTTATCCAATGTCAACAAAGTCTTCTTTAATTGGATTACCTACAAATATCTTAACAGTCAGAATACAGACATGGAAACATGAAAAAGTAATGATGTTGATAGGCATATGAGAGAGTACTCGATTTCTAAAGATGGATAGACCATTGTAGACAAAGAAGACTTCACTAGATATAAACAAGACACTACCAACAAATGTACACTTAATCTCCAATAGCCAATGGTGATATCTTAAAATGGCAGTACCACTGGAAACTCTTAATGTATACCCACTTCTATTAGAGAACCAAATTTACTTGAAGCACATATCAAGATCAAATCATATTTCTAGAAAGCTTCCTTTTCTCTCTCTTTTGTACTTAAATGAAAAAGCGAATTAACAGGAGGAGATTTTCACATTTAATCAAAGACATACTAGCCATTCCTTTTTCATCGGATTACAAGTGATTGACTCAACAATTGAGAAGCAAACAGATACTAGTAGATGTAGTAGAATGTGTATTGCATTCATATCCATGAAAATGGCAGTCCCTTTCTCTTCTCCACTTTCTATATTGTTAAAATCATTCAACCATCCAAATCCAAGCTTTTCCTCTTGGATCCACAAAAATTTTCTAATAAATATATCTAATATCTTAACCAAAACATAAAAAATCATCTTTATTACAACAAAATAGAAGTGATTATTAGTTCCTCATATGTAGGACTCTGGATACGTGTTGTCCTTTAGCCTTTAAAAATAAATATGACTTATGTTATACCCAAGCTGTATCGTTTACATCTGAAAAAGTCCAAATAAAAGCTAGATGATAACACACCCACTGCAGTTCTAGCTGTTTCTTTTAGATATGAAAAATCATTGCTCAAACCTAATGAATGAGCAGGGAGCAGTCGAGTTATATCATACCAATCAATCAAGTCAACTTTCCACTGCATGGAATCAGAGTGACTGCCAGATCATATGGAAGAAAATTTCTTATATAACTATATGGACTATGTCATAGCTTTCATGACTTGTACGACCATCTTCACAACTCATTGTAGACCCAACTAGGGAAATCCATCTACAAGCTAAACTATTACAGGCCATTAATAGGAACAAACTATGAGGTAGCTTTTCATACTACTTTCAGATAGGAAAGATCAGATACTGGAGACTCAATCACAAGAAAGGGACAATTAAACTTCTAATCTCCAGCAAGTTATGATTTCGACACTGAATGCTAGAACAAGATCATCACAGCACATTATTGCAAAGTAAATAACCACCCTATATGTGGGTCAGTAAGGAATGAAATCTGACCTTGAAGCATAACCATTTTAGCACCTTCTCATCATTAAGCCTGTAAAACTTCGTGTTTCCGATATCTGTTGACACAAAAAAAAAGGAGATGGATAAGAAGATTAAGCATTAACTAACTTGAACTTTTCATGTCAAACAACTTGAATTAGCCTTTCACACCAACCCAAAAAATAAATCATTATAGCTTCAAATGCTTTCTGATTTACACCATGATATATCTACCATTTCCATGTCTTTTTCTACTAAAATTTATTCGCCAAACAACTTTAAGGCAGATCTTAACAGAAGGATTTGATGTGAGGTACATGGATAACATCTCTATCTATAGAATACTCCATAAATATGAGATGTCATGCCATCTAGCATTATAAACCAAAATAAAAACTGATTATTCTGAGACAGTATATTATCACCTTTGACATCACAAACCACTTGCATGCAGTTCTCAGCAACAGAAGAAAGATGCTGATATCCAGGATAGCCTACGACATAAGTTATTTCATCCAATTGCCTAAACTTTCCTAGATCATCCTTTTTCTGCATTTTGTCAGAATAAATAAAAGCGCAGTTAGAGAACCAGCTAGCCAGTAGCCAAGTGGAAGACAGTTGTCTCTGGTTAATGTTGCATGCAGCAAAAGAACTTCGACCAGCCAAAAGAGAAAGAACATAATCCGAATCTTATGTAGTCATTCGAGGAAGAGAGCAATAGAGTCTTGAAAGTGCTTTAAAAGCAGTTTTTAATAAATAATACATAAAACAACAATATGTGTAAGCTACACATGTACAAGCATTACACTTCTCTACTATATGAATTTTAGCTAGCAGTTTCTCTATATAAGAAACTTATTGCAGAGAGATACATCATTCAGAAATTAGAGATTAATACCTTCATTCTTGCTTCTTCGAAAATAGGTAACAGAACAAAAACTGGATCCACTGGAGTTGCAGTATATAATCGGCTATCTGTTTTGAGAAATAAATGAGAATACAGAAAAGCTAAACAAAAAAAGAAAGAAACTAACACTTCCTCTAGAAATCAAGATCAATGGCATTGAAAGTTTTAAAGAGCAGAAGACAAACCAACAGGCTTCTCTACCAAGAGCACAAAAGATAAAGTATAAGCATACCAGTTATCCTAAGCATGAAATTAAATCAACGTCTAGTAAGCAAAAAGAAAGATTCCGCAATATGCATTAAACATGATATCAGAACATGGTTCATTCAGAATTTACAAATAGGGCCACTATAAACTTTTTTTTCCCGACAGCTACTAAACTCGAGTTTGGTTCATATGTGCAACTCTTCTACTATTCTCTCCGTTCCATTTTAATTGACGTGGGTCGACGTCCGCGAAGCATATGAGTAAAATGTTTAATGAATTATTACAAGTATTGGCTTCTGGAGAGAAGAATGTAAATATAACTTTCTCCAAGAAATTTAAAATAATAGTTTGAAATGTAAGAACAAAGAAGTTGGTTGAACCGAATGAAGAGTGTTTTCCATATTAAGGAAGGAGTCATTGTTTTTCCAGATAAAATACAAATGAAATTTAGATCACTGACAAGTAGTTGTTTTGAAATCTGAAATAATCAAAGGGAAGTGCACACAAGGATCAGAACCCTCAATCTTGCTCGTTTGAGACATTGCAGGTGGAATCGGAGCAATGCATAGGAGAACCATGTCTATACAACAAAGCCCAAGTTGGACGTGTAGTAGGGTAATTCATTGGACTATGTCAAAAGTAAATGAGATAGACCAAACACCTAACCTGTATCCAGGTTGGACTAAAAAATTTAATTTTTTGTTTTTGATAGGCAAAATATTTAGATTATTTTAGAGAGGTAGTTTTAATCCTCCTTGCAGGTTGGTTCAAATTTCCACAATGCTTCATGAGAGGTAGTCTTAATCCTCCTACTGCATCCTCATCAAATCTTTCGCATGGAAGAATGAATCACACAAAGAACATTAAACTTGAGATTTTAAAAAAAAGATGTTTTTATTTTCAATTCAAACACTTACTCTATGAAGTGAAGCCACTGTCTAGGACTACATATTTCCTCTAACGCTTATCATTTGGATTATCGAGAGAACTAATGGACAGCGATAGAAATGTCAACTTATCAGCTTTTGAAAGGGTTCATTAGATCAAGCTCAGACAAACTTTTACCTTCACACACATAATCCCCAAGGAACCAAGACCCATAAGATTGCTTGAACCAGTGAAGTTCTTGAAGAGCTCCATCAACACAAATGTAGCATGTTGCATTTCCTGTCACAGAGGCGAATCCAAAAACATTATGTCCATCAATCTAAAGTTATTGCACCATTAATACAAACCTTAGTGACATAACCAGTTCCCAAAAGATAGTTTGACAATCAACAGAATGTTAGAGCATGGTTAACAAAAAATAAGCCGTAATAATTTCGATATATCCACCAATAACAAAGTCTCAAGCCACTATAATGAAAGCATTAAAACCCAAAGAAAAACAGTAAACAAGTACGCATAAAGAAAGGCAACATCTTAGAAAAATAAAGATACAATTAAATAAGACAGTGGCATGAAAAGTGCAGGAATTTACCAGATTTGGGATGTTGAAGAGATAATAGCTGCCCTACCTTGTTCCCATCCTTTGAAGGCTCTGCAATGTTAAACTGAGTTACAGTTTGTAAAATATAAAATAAAAATGTTAAACTGAGAATCTTCATATTGCAGTCAAGTTAGTAAGGAGATTCTGGAACTGTAGTCTAGGAGATTGACATATCATTACTACCAAGGACCAACAACGCAGCAAGAGAGATATAAAGATAATGCTTTTTCAAGATGAGTTTTGTTATCTTTTCAGAATCAAGATTCAACTATATGACAGGTCTATCAGTTTAATGACATATCCGGAAGGACCAACAAGTCATGAAATCTTGGATATTAGTGTTCATCCTTGCAGATGAAGCTTACAATTAGCTACTGATATCTTAAGAAACAGTAATTATACATGCTTAAGACACTCCGTTTAGATGGGAGGCACATCCCAAGATTTGAACTTCATGGATCCGAGTTCAAAATTCCACCAGAACTCATTTGATTTATTGGGTTCAATTATTTCTACTTATTTATAGAATTTCTTAGCACAGACGGCGAAGCCAAAGCTACTGGAGTCAAATGAACCCGTACCTTACACTATATCCGCCCCTGCTTTAGATTCCAAATGGATGAAGATATTCAAAGAAAAGCAATATAACACAAATAATGTACTCAAAATTCCCATCAAATAACAGGCAAAGCATATTTCTTAGGGCACAAATTATTCAATCTAGATACAAAAATTAAGAACCATAGTACCCAACCGAAAGTTTCTACCTTTTCTGCTACACAATACATAAACAAGGTGCAATATGTAAGTGTGAAATGTCAACGATAAAAAAAGGAAGCGGCAACGGAAACGAGACACAAATTAAGGACGGAGTACCTGGTGCAATAAGAACACGAACTTCATTGATACCCTCCCACCAAGCCATGGAACCCTTTCTCACACAAGTATAAACTCTATGAGTTGAAGCAGTGAAATAAGGAGTGAAACTTACAAGTTGATTAGCAGGAGCAAGTTTGCAGCCGAAGGAAGAAGAGATTTTGTAGGAATTTGGAATTGGCGCCGAAATCGGTCGGGATTTTGGTGCGAATCTCAAGTCCATTCGTCACCCTAGTAGTAAGTGGTTATTAGTGGTCAACAAAAAGTGATTTTTTTCTTTTATTTTTATTTATCCCTTAATGAATGACCAATAAAGGATCTATTAAGAAATTTGATACTTTGTAGTTGTATATAGTCAAAGTATTGAAATTTTGGAAAAGAACATTGGAGCTTGAATTTCTAAATTATTTTGTACTATATAATTTTTTAAAATCGTATTTTTCCTTATTTCATGCTATACAATTTGTTTTCTTTTTAGCGCTGTCACACCTCCTTTTTGCGCGCCTACCCCGAAGGATAAATGCGTGAGGGAGTTTTTTCAATTTAAGTGACAATATTCGAAATGGGATTATTTATTTATTTCAGAGTCGTCACTTGGGAAAGGTTTGACTTTTGGTGTCCCAAGTCACCGGTTTATCTTGAATCCCAAATCGAGGAAATTTTCGACTTTCCAAATGAAGTCTGCGAACCAGAAATTCTAAGTAAGGAATTCTGTTGACCCGAGGGAAGGTGTTAGACACTCACGGATCCCGTGGTTCTAGCACGGTCGCTTAAATTGTTATAATGGCTAAATATCTGATTTTAATACATGTTATAACTTGTGTGCTTTTATTAGGTTTAAACCGCATTTATTATTATTTATTTATTATGGAATTGCAACGTCATAAAAATGCATTTCGAACCACGTCACAATCAATGCGCCCGTGGTTGTTAATACATTCCGACTCCGTTGAGATTTGGATTTGGGTCACATAAATGCGCACCCGAATTTAAGAATGTAATTTAATTAAATCGCGCCTAAAGAGTCTAACGCGTTATTATCTTTGGGGAAGGCAGTAAAATTCACTAAACAGTCCATCCCAAATTCTAAGTATTTTACTATGACCAATTATTGAGGGCCCTGCAATTTGCACTTTTGTTTGGCGAGGCACGCCTCATTTCTGTTTTAAAAGGATCTACCTATAGTGACTATATTTTCTATTTCGTTCGTCTCTATAATGAAAGAAAAGAGTTCTAGCTTATTTACATGCTCACGAGTTATTATAGTTGAGTTTCGAAAGTGAGTCGTTAAATCTGAAGACAATACAATAAGGGAAGTCGGTTAACAATTATGGGCCTAGGTCCAATGTATAAGGAGTAAAACTGGACCTGTGCCATCCTTATTCAGATGTTGGGCTTAGCCAAACGATTCTACACATGTTCAAACTTTAAGAACCCGAAATGAAAGTGATTCCCAATGAAACCCTTTTTTTTTTACGAATTTAGATGAACAAGTTGTTAACTAAAATAGTTTGAACTATTGAGTAATCACCTAAGGCCTGATATGTATTTGGAACATGCTGTTTAATCGAACAAATTGAACTAGCAGAATGTTACTACTACACTGTTAGTCCATTTAAACTAAAAGCCTACGGGGAAGGAGTTTACAACTTAAACTGCTATAGGATAATGCCCATGTTATACATAAACAACAACCACCTGATTCTAGTTAAGGCAACTAGCTAACATATATACAAATGAGATTCAGTATGTAACCAGAGTTTACATGGGCAGTGCATAGAATGTTCTAAATACAGACAGTAAAAGAAAGAAAAGACTACATTAAACTACAGATTCAAATCTTTCCCATTTTTTTTGCATTCATGCTTCGATAAGCTTACAAGATGTACCAGTGTATTCAGTTTTGTGTACCTGGTATTTGAAAAGCAAGGAAAGAAGATGAAGATCAGTGAAGCGACAGTAGTGTTCCGCAAATAACAACAGCAACAGTAACAATAAGCAGAATAAATCCCAGTGAAAAAAATTCAGCTATAACCAATGAAAGCAGTAGCAAATAAACCCAGCAAACTCAAGAGCGAACAATTGAAAACCCAGCAAAACCAAAATGTAATCACAGGCTTCACAGCCAAAGCAGAAGGGAGATAGGTACGAGACAACAGTAGTTTACTGATGTTTCAAGACATTCAAAGGAAGGCATGATAGATGCAGCTCACAGCTCTCAAAATCTGGAAAAAAAAAATTGTCCACTCTTTCCTAAGTTCTCTCTCTATCTTCTTTTTCTTTTTCTTTTTTTTCTCTTCCTCCCCCCTTGCTGCCTATCAGTGGCTCTATATATATGCCAAAAGATCCCACACTCCAACTCTTAAGAGTACTCAAAAACTAAAATCAGAAAAATATTTTGCCCCCTCCTCCTGCTTTTGCCCATTATTGTATGTTTTGTTCCCCACTACACTTGTCCTATCCTATTTTTAATTCAAAGATTATGGGCAACATTTATTTAATCACTCCCCAACAAAACCACCCCCATACCGTTATCTTTTGTTCCCAACTTTATTTAAACAAATGCATTAGATTAATGGTACATTGGTACTTCCTGACAGTCCACTCAAGTTAACCCTCTTTTTCCAAGTTTTGAAATCCCCAAATTACC